GTAAGCAACAGCTTGTTTTGATAAATCATCATAAATAATTAATGCATGTTTAGAATTATCTCTAAACCATTCTCCAAATGCAGCTCCAAGGAAAAGACCACCAAATAAATAATGTATTAATACCACCGATTGCTGTCAGAATGCTAAATACAACAGGCATAACGAATAAAGCAATGAATCCACAAATCACCAATGTGCAAAGATAAAAATAATGCCAGACTGGATGATCTTCTTGTAACTCTTTAGAATTCATAATGTAAAATGCTAAATTTTTTACAATGTTTCCATTTGAATTCTTTGTTGCACTTGGGATTCTATCATCAATGTTTGATTAAATTTTTCTCTGAAATCATTATTATCATATTTTGATATAAAATTAGTTCTTAATAAATATTACAAAGAAAAAAAGAATTTAGAATTAGTATTATAGAAAAGGAACGAGTATTATTGAATGAATGAATGAATACCATTATCATTTTGTTTATTATATTTGATGATGCCATGATAAATTTGTAAAAAAAATTTGTGAACAAATGAATGGTAATATTCAATTTTATAAAAATATATGCAAAATAGAAAAATAAAAAAATACATGTTCTTACTAAACATTTTTCTTAAAAAAAAAAAGATATTGCTTTAAAATTTTCAATGAGGTAAACCCAAACTCACTGCCATATTTGACATTAAATGACTATTATTTCTTTCCTCCTTGATTGATCTTAGTATTAGTATCTGGTTTTTTAGGGGTTGACATGCATGTAAAAATCCAATTGGTTATGAGGTCAAGTTTCTTTGAATGAATTAAATGTCAAACCTTTGGGTTTGATAGCTTTGAATGTTTCTTGTACAGTTTGAATGGACCTTGTTTCAATGGATTTTTGTTTCAACGGGTTTTTGTTTTGATCCCTTGTTTTTATTAATTAAAAAATTATTATTCCAATGGTAAATCGCGTTCAATGGACAATGGATTTTTTGGTAATAAATATTAATCATGTTACAATGGATTCATTAAAATTTTCCCAATATATATTAATATACGCAGAAAAATCAAATTTTTTTCAATACCAAAATTCCAAAAATCAACAGAAAAAAATTTTTTTGCATAATTAAAGGAAATAAAAAATACATAAACATTCATCTGAGATTTATTTTATTTGTATACACAGAAAAATTTTTTCTTGCCTTGCAAGATAAAAGTATAATAACTTTTTTTAATAAAAGGCTACTATTAGTGATTTCCCCCCCGCCAATCACTTTTACTATGTAGTATTCACTGATTCGTCAATAAGTAAAAACATACATGTAAATTACAATACATATTTTTTAGGTTTCTTTTCACCAGAATAATAACATACATTGTGTAAGGAATTAAAACTTACATTTCCCGGGTTTTCCTTCACCAGAATAATAACATACATCATGTAAGGAATTAAAACTTACATTTCATGAGTTTTCCGTTCATCAAAATAATGACATACATCATGTAGGGAATTTGATACATTTCTTGAATGTATTTAAAATTTAATGATTTCAAAACTTACATTGGGTGAGTTCATTCCATATTTAAATTTTATTTTTTACATATTTCCATACTTTTATTTTCTATAGGCAACATTATTTACAACAACAACAGCTGCTATTACTACAAGAAAACTACAACAACAAAATTATCATCCTCAACAATAACAACCACCCACTATACAATTTAATTGTAATAATGTGTACCACACCATCATTATCATAATAATAATAATAGCAACAGTAATAATAGTGGCAGGAGTAATGATCCTAGCAGTAGTAATAGCAATAATAATAGTGATAATAGTAGTAATAGTAGTATGATGGTGATGATAATAATAATATTATTATTATTAACAATATCATTATGGATAGTGATGGTGATCTTGATGACACATATGTAGATTCCGATGGCTCTGATGATTAAATAAACTCCATCACCTGATACATAGCCAATTCTGTCATTAATATGAACTTATTAATCATGAAATCCTGTTAAAATGAACTTTTTTTAAAAAACCAAGCCAACATCCGGAAAATATAAAAAAATTTTACATGTGTCAATTGTAAGTTTAATAATAAAAAAGTGTAAAACTTATGTCGGCACTGTAAGATTTACACAATATTACGTTGGCATCGTAAGATTTATGCAAATTAATTTCCTGATGAAATTATACGTGGTTATATTTAAATTTACCCATCAAACCATGGCTTTTACCTTTTAATCTATAGTAATAGGCCTCATTCACCTGAAACTAATATTTAAATTACCCTGATAATCTGAGTTTTTATTTTAACTAATCAGATATTTATCTACAGATTTTTTAAAGTATCCATTAATTTGAAGAACAGTGGCTGTTTCAGTTTAACAAAATGACTAGGTAATTATTTTAATTAAATTATTATTATATTGATTAATTGATAAATTATTATGTTGTTTGTTATATTGATTGATTATGATTCCTTATACAATCCATCAAAGAGAAACATTACTCACTCAGAGAATAAATCCAGTGATGTGGAATCCACCCATATAACTATATTAGTTACAACACTGGGTGTTTTTTTATGAATCAGAAAATTTATTAATATCTCCAACATATCAAGGTTCTAGTTATAAAAATAAAAAATAATTAGATGAAGTTTTAATAAGATTATTTGTATTGTAATTGTTAAAAAATAAAATAATTTAATTTGATGATGTTTTAATAAAAATTATTTGTTATAATAATTAACAATAAAATATTTACTACCTGCTTGTTTATAAAGAAATAAAAATAAATTTATAGCAAAGTAAAATACTTATGCTCTGATAGAGAAATAAAAAACAAATTTATTTAATTAGATAATGTTTTAATAAAAATTATTTTGTGTTGTAAAAGCCAATTTATAATATAGTAATATAATACTTACATTCTATTTATTAAAAACTAATTTGTGTGAAGTTGATTTATAACATAATAATATCTAGTTATCATAAAAAATAAAAAAATAAAATTATTTAATTAGATGATGTTTTAATAAAAATTATTTTGTCTTGTAAAGTCAATATATAGTAAATAATATGCTTTAATAAGGTAAATTTTAATTTAAAATTAACTATATGTAAATCAATGTTGGGAGAGTTACTGGAACTAGAACACTGAAACAAATTTTCCAGTTCCAATTCCAGCATTCTGGTGACTTTTTTTCTGGAACATCAATGGAACATTAGAAACACTGGAAGCAACAACAAAGTTTTATTTCATTTATAAAAATTTTCTAATATTATATTTATGATTGTTTTTCTGAAAATAATGATATTCATTTGGGGGGTTTCAATCCAGGTTTAAATAATCTTGCTAATTTTCCATTTTGCCTTTATATTATCAGCTAGATGTACCCTATGCTTTAATAAAAATTTTGAATCATTATTCAAATCAGTTTCATCACTAGTTTCATTAAAAGTCTCATCCTCCAGTGCTTCAACCAATAACTTTCAATTCCATTGTTTGATGATGAACTGACGGAAGAACTTGATTCATTATATATATCATCAATATCATTTTCACCATCATCACCATGTTTACCAATAGATGGAACAGTATTAGAAATTTTTAATTGTGGAGCATTAGATAAAGACTACACCCATCCTTTTATTTGTATTTAGGCTTTGCAGATAGCTAAACAATTACTTTTATTGACAAAAAAATATGCAAAAGGTTTTCACCTGTGTGCCTACTACTCATTTTTTCTTTTTTTTGCATTACAATTATTACAATTATAGAGATTGTGAGCAGAAGCCACAAGGTGAATCTACAAAGTCATATGATTTCATCACATGTACAAAAAAAATTATTGCAGGAAAGAAAGAAAAATTGTTGCTGCTAGAATTAGTCAAGCTTTGTCATAAGTCCCACCCCAAAGAAAAAAGAATTCTATAGTGGTAATGACATTGCCTATATTTATTTCATTATTACATGTGAATAGATATATATTTATTCTAATGAGAAATAATAATAAAAATAAAATTCACGCAAATTTTTCATTGGTTTCAGCAGTTCCAATGATGTTTTTCAAACTGTTCCAGTGATTTTCTCACTGGAACTGGAAATTCCCAAGACTGATGTAAATTAGGCCTTTACTTTGGAGGAAGTAAAGAATCTTTAATCAATGTTTTAAATATAAGCAATAGATCCACTGCATTTGTTGGCTATAATGATGGATTCCAATTATATGGTAATGGTTCAACTCTTGGTGCAAATCTTGCTTTATACACCAATTACAAGAAATACTTGTTTCTATTTATTTCAAAATAATAAATACAATTTGATGAAAATGAAAACCTTTGAAAATATTAAAAAACCTAGTTTTATATGGGCACATTTTCAGATCTTGGGAGAAAAAGTAAATAATCAAAAAGAATAACAATTAAAATGCATAAAAATGATTAATGATAGAATAGATGATTTATATAATAAACTACCAACAAACAATGTTCTATTGGTCATTGGTCAACCAAAAGAAAGCAAGGAAAAAGTAATTGTTTTTAGAGTTAAAACTAAAAAGTCAAATTGAAAAATTAGATAAAGAGAAGGAATAGCATTAAAAATTAACCAATGTCCTGTATGTGTGGTGTGGAAGATAACCTTGGCAAAAAAAATGTTGTTATTTCAAAATATTTATATGTATAGAGATATATAAATGGTTTTAATTGGATTTAGTTGCTCAAATTCATTTTAAATGGCTCTTTTTGCAATAGTTCTATACAACAATCATATGTATATGACCATTGGTTAACTTTAGAAAATGATGCAAATATATATATTAATATATCATGAAAGATCTGCAAGTTTAAATCCTAAAGTGAAAAAATGGGTTTCTGATTTTCTCAGCAGTACACCCACCCCAATACAAAATCTTATTGGTCAATTTAAAAATTTCCTATACGTAACAGTACACAAAAAATCTAAAAAAAAATTTTTTAGATTGATTTTTTGTAGCGAAGACGTTATATATATTTTATATATATATATATATATATATAAATAAATAAACACTTATTTAATCATTTATTATAACATAAAACATATATATACATACACACAAGCATATAAAAATTTATTAATTAATGATGTTTAGAAATGCTGTGCGTGTTGCATCGCCCTTGGCTACATCAATAGTCCGTCGGGCTATTCCTACTATTGTATGTGTTAAATTTTCTTTTAAGTTGTCAAATTGTCAAAATGTCAAGCAGTAATTATTACATATATATATGTATATATATATGTTATAGTTATTTATCTATATAAATTTCAAAAGTTTACTAATTAGTCTAATAAAAAAAACAACTTTTGATAAATAACATTCATGAATTTGAATTTTTGAAAAAAAATTTTTATAAAATTAATTAATTAAATAATAAAATTATCATTAATATACTAACCAATTTAATTAAAAAATGGTTTTGGAAAAAATGTGTTATTATATTAATTAATTAGGTTCGCACCAACACTTGCTCAGTTAGTCACACAGTTCGTAAATATGCCACTGCAAAACCTAGTAAGTATGCCATTTTATTATTCTCCTGATGATACATTATAATATGTAAACAAAGATTTGAGACTAAATTCTAATTTATATATTAAATAAAGCTACATCCGAAGTATCTTCAATTTTGGAATCACGTATTCTTGGTGTTTCATCTGGTGTAGAAATTCAAGAAACCGGTCGCGTATTATCAATTGGTGATGGTATTGCTCGTGTTCATGGTCTTAGGAATGTCCAGGCAGAGGAAATGGTGGAATTCTCCAGTGGTTTGAAGGTAATTCAAAAAATAAATAGATATATCAAAATTATTGTTGTTGTTTTGTACAGAATAATCATAATAATAATTTATTTTTTATATTGATGTTATATATAGGGTATGGCACTTAATTTGGAACCAGATAATGTTGGTATTGTGGTCTTTGGTAATGACAGATTGATCAAGGAAGGTGACACAGTGAAGCGAACAGGTCAAATTGTTGATGTACCAGTAGGGCCTGCTTTACTTGGACGTGTGGTAGATGCACTTGGTAATCCTATTGATGGAAAAGGTCCAATAGCAGCTACAGAAAGACGACGTGTACAAGTTAAAGCTCCTGGTATTTTACCCCGTAGATCTGTTCATGAGCCTATGCAAACTGGTATCAAATCTGTAGATGCTATGGTTCCAATTGGTCGTGGTCAACGTGAATTGATTATTGGTGACAGACAAACCGGTAAAACTGCTGTTGCAATTGACACTATTCTTAATCAAAAGAAATGGAATGATGGTGATGATGAAACCAAAAAATTATACTGTGTTTATGTTGCTGTTGGCCAAAAACGTTCAACTGTTGCTCAATTGGTGCAAACCTTGGAAGAAAATGGTAAAATTAATACTTAAAAACATGTGCATTATTTAATATACATTTATGTATAAGTTTATATACATATTCAAATATTAATTAATTATTGTCATCATCGTCATTGTTATTATTAATTTGGTTGAAAAATAGATGCTTTAAAATATTCAGTAGTTGTGGCAGCTACAGCATCAGAGGCAGCTCCACTTCAATATTTAGCACCGTTTTCTGGATGTGCTATTGGAGAATGGTTTAGAGATAATTCTAAACATGCATTAATTATTTATGATGATTTATCAAAACAAGCTGTTGCTTACCGTCAAATGTCACTGTTGCTTAGACGTCCACCAGGTCGTGAGGCTTATCCTGGTGATGTGTTTTATCTTCACTCTAGATTGTTAGAACGTGCATCTAAGTTAAATGCAGATTTCGGTGCTGGTTCTTTAACTGCTTTGCCAATCATTGAGACTCAAGGTGGCGATGTGTCTGCCTATATCCCTACAAATGTCATTTCTATCACTGATGGTCAAATTTTTTTGGAAGCTGAATTGTTTTTCAAAGGGTAACTAATAAATTTTCAAATATTTTTATATATGATTTAATTTAATTATTAATAGAGAAATTTTTTTTTGTTTATTTCAGTATAAGACCTGCAATTAATGTTGGTATATCTGTAAGTAATCATCAATATTATATATAATATATAAATATAATATATATGTGAAATCTATTATTAATTAATATTAATAATAACATAATAGGTCAGCAGAGTAGGTAGTGCTGCGCAAACTAAAGCTATGAAACAAGTTGCTGGTTCTCTTAAACTCTTTTTGGCTCAATATCGTGAAGTAGCAGCTGTATGTAAAAAAATCCCTTTGATTTACTCTCAATAATAAGAACAATATTATTATTATCATCATTATTAACATAGTGATTAATGATTAATTGTATTATTTAAGTTTGCTCAATTTGGTTCTGACCTTGATGCATCAACACGTTATACGTTGAATCGTGGCGAAAGATTAACGGAACTTTTAAAGGTAATGTATATGTTTATATATTTCAATTAATAATATATTTTAACAATTGATTAATGCTTTTCTTTAAATCATTAGCAACCTCAATATTCACCAATTCCAATAGAACTTCAAGTACCCTTGGTCTTTGCAGGTGTACATGGATTCTTAGATAAAATAGATAGTAAAAGAGTTGTAGAATTTGAATCATCGTTCCTTCCTCATATCAGTTCTAATCATGCTGATGTATTGGATACGATTAAAAAAGAAGGTGTCATCTCGGAATCTACTGATAAAAAATTACGTGATATTTTGACTGAATTCTTAAAATCTTTTTAGTAAAATAAAATAAAAAATAAAAACAAAAATAAAATAAACTTTTATTATTAACTTATTAATTAATATAATTTGTTTTTTACTTTAGTGTTATATAGTAAAAAAAGAAATTAGTTAATCATATACAAAAACTTTTATATATGATTTTATTAACAACGGAATTAAAATTGATGCAACAGAAATTGTCTTTTTGGGAAAAATTGTATGTTTCGAGAGTAATTATCAAAAAAAAAATATCAATAAATATTATATTTTACAAAAAGTAAAAGCGTTGTTATAGAAATACTCAATATTCAATACTCAATATTAATGATGAATTCTGAATGCAGAACGCAAAGTAGCGAAGTGCTCATGTTTTTAAACATAATTTTTTGGGAAGCATGAGGTTAAAATTGATTCATGAGAATCATCGTTACCTTTAAAAAAAGTTTAAGGGTAGAGTGATCGACCAACATTTATACATATAAGAAATGGCCAAAATAAATTTTGACGTTTTATTTTACTGAAAAAAAATAGAGAATATTATACTCGATAAGTCGGTTACTTGATAGACCAAAAAGTTTCCCCTTTTTTAATAAGTCGGTCGGTCAATCACTTAGTCCAAGTATAATTAAATTAACCAATGAAAATCATGCACGCAACATTTCAATTTTTTAAATAATTCGTTTATTTTTATTACTTGTCTAAATTCAAAGGAAATTTCTTCTAAAAAATTTCTTTCTTTTGTCAGGACTGATTAGATTGACAAGGGGGTTGATTTCACAACTTATTTTCACCAAAATCCAATTATATTTATATACTTAACAACATATAATATTGGGGATACTCAGCAGAAATGAAAAGAGATGTAGCTGATAAAATGTTAGCAAATTACAATAAATGAATTTCAAGTAATTTATCATACAATTATTTTAATATTAACAACTTGCTTTTGGTATGATCTAATTTCCTGCCCACTACAAGAAAACAATTATATTATTATTGATACAATCTTTAATAGAATTATAAATAAAGAAAATTATTTTAATTCTCCTGTAAATTATTCCCAAGACTTAATGATGACAGAAGAAATATTCAGGACCGAAAGCCGGATTATACCAAATAATTTTTAACACATCTAAAATTTTCATTGCGACTTCTGTTAGCTTTCCATCACTCTCTTTCCAATTTCCATTATGTGTTAAACCCAGTTGTAATCTATATATACTTCAAGTTCTGAAGTCTAATACAAACTTGTAACATTTTTCTTGTATACTTGAAGGGAATGTTGAAGGTACCATATTTTTGACCAGTTTCTAGCATTAAAACAAATTAAAATTAGTTGATTATAACACCTACTCAGGGTCTAGTCTTAAGGTTAGTTCTGACTTTTATATATACCTTAAATTTCTTTTGCTGTTTTTTTGATAAACGTTCCACTATACTTGATTCATCACTTAATAACTTGGCTAGCTAAAGGTTCTTCCCAGGTTAAATCAGATTCAGGTATTTAGTTTAGAAAAGTAACCAATTGTTGGTAAAGTGCTGATGTACCATTCTTGAAAAAATAGTGAGTAATGTTACATGAAAATCTTGAGTTAACTTATGCTGGTAAAAATAATGCATTATTTACCATAAGTTTACCCTTCAACAAGTTTATATTGCACTTAATTTCTTCCAATGTGAGAGGCTTCTCCTTATTCTATGAGTATAATATTATGTTACAAACCATTTTAATTGTTTATTTACTCTCATCTCAACATACCGTTTTTAAAACACTGATTTCTTGCAAATTGCAAACACTATCAAAAGCAACATCAAACTAACATAGATGTATAATAAGTTAGAAATAGTTGATGAATTAAAATATATATATATATATAACCACGCAGTTGTCAGAATAATACAAAGCCATCACCCAGTATGGCCTGCTACATGAATGAGACTTTGTGTGGTACTATATTAACTACATAGAAACAAAACATTTATCTATAGCATAAATATCCTCCATGCCATCCAGGATAATCCCTTTAGTGGGCTAATAGGAAATTTAAACTATTATGTTTGCTTCCTCAGAATGGTATCATTATTCAAGCTACTCAGCATTTGATATTATAATAATTTTCAAGAGAAAAAAAAATAATTCACCTGTAGCGTTATTTGAGTAATCTTCCCATATCGTAAAAAATCTCCCTTGTATACCAATATGTTTTTTACTGAATTTACTGCTCTCTCTATGATACCTCTTAATTTGTCCTTGTTAATCCATGGATTATCTTCCAACCCTTGATAAATAACCGAGGTCGCCATAATATGTTCAGTTTTTAAGTTGGTTAAATATTCTATGATTTTTATGTATAGATTTTCAGAAGACGTTTTTTGTTATTAATAGTAGTCGTGGGACATTGCAAATCAAGTGTCATTCAATATAAACGTTACACGAAAAAATTTATTGTCGTCCACTTCAAAAAAAAAAATCTCCGTTTTTCATGTAACAAGCGACTTTCAACCATAATAAATTTTTTAGAGCCAGACTGGGGCTTT